CACCCTTGTCTTTAGGGCAGCCAAAATCATTTTATCCTGTCTGTTGGTGTGCATGCAAATGGGAAATGTTCCCTCTTCCTAAAATTCTTTGTATGTGCACATACTGTTCATCACTAAAATTATCAGTGCAGGGGCTGTTGCTTTGACAAGGTTGTTGGGAGCTGACCAATATAGGGGCACATCAGTGGATGGACACAACACTGAGGACATCCCAGTGCATAATTTTCTGAAGAGAACTGTAGGTCTGACACACTGTAAATGAAACTGCCTTATATAAACCGTGTTTGTAGAACATAACCTGCAAATGCATTGCATTCCGAGAGCCTGAGACTTAAAATGTGTATATTGGTCCGATAACCAGCCCCACGTTATCTGTTTTATGCTCCTGCTCAATGCAGAACACGTGCTGCCGAGAAACAGAAAGGACATGCATTTGTTTTCAGGCACAGGGCTTTGCAACCACTTGGGAAGAATATTCTTGATTGAGAACCAAAACATTCCATGATGCTTAACAAACCTGCAAATTGAAAAATCAACATCTGCCCTGTGTAGCAATATAGTAGGAGAAGGACCTGTAGCCTGAAAAATTCAAAATACTCCTTAAATTAGGTTTCGGCGCATTTGTAAAATTACTACTCTCTGAATCAAGGCTCAAGCAGTTTTTATATGACAGCATGTGTTGTGTTGATAGACAAAATCTCAGCCTGCACTTGCCCATGGAAAGTGCTGGATACCGGGGTGGACAGTGCTTCCAACGCGGAGCTGCATCTCACCGAACGCTCCTACAGCAATATGATAAAATAAATGAGGTGCAGCATTAGATCACTGAGGACAACTGAGGACAACTGACTCCTCCCTCGTCCAAACCCCACAACTCCTGCAACCCCAATTCCCATGATTTAAATACTGGGGTTTTCCCCCAGCAGCCCATGGAAGCGAGCGGAGCACAGTCCACACTCAGACAGAGGAAGGCACCACTCTGCAGGGAGCAGAGAGAAATCTGGGACTGTGCAGTGACTGGAATTCTGGCTGCTTGCGCAATGGCTGCCTGGGATTCTTTTTTTCTCTTTTTTTTTTTTTGCTGTTTCCCTTATTTACATATCACGAGACATGTCTTTATAAAGTTACTTTAATAATTCATTAGATTGATCTCTTCAGAAATTTGCTCGGGGTAGGTGTCATTAGGAAAAGTTATTTAAACTTATTTAAAGGTTTGTGCCTGAGTAGGGCATTTACCTGCCTCACTGCTGATATTCTAAAAATACCTCCATGTCCATACTATTATCCATTCTTCACGTCCAATTGCTCTGTTATGGTAATAGTCAGAAGCACACCATGTAGTAATTACTTACAGCTGACTTAAGAAAAGAATATTCAACTCCCCCACTGTTCCACTAGAAGGTCTTTATGCACTATTAACTCATTCCTGTTTATTAATACTCTACTGGTAATTCTGGCTGCTGCTTTTTAGGTTTGTAATAGGAGGACTATTAAACAGCAATTATTGACCATATGGGTTAGTGAATATTTGTGGTGGTTGTTGGGTGGTTGTTTTGTTGTGGGTTTTTTATTTTTTTTTAATCCTTTTAAGTTGTTTTTTAAGGAGCCACATCACAATATAGTGGTGCAACTTTACATCTGCCTGGGATTAGCAGCTTTGGCAGCATTCCCCACCTAGAAAATGCAAATACCATATTTCAGAAATATCAGCTGAAGCTGTGAAAATACAGAGCAATTTAAAAAACATGAAAACACTGTGCCAGACAAAGTGAAAATCTTTGTCTTTTTTTTTCTTTTCCCCAGCAGTATATGGTTTGATCTCCTTTTTTTTTGTCTGTCTGTCTTTCTGTTTCTCTTTCTTTGACTTTTTTTTTTTCCAGTTTTTTGGGTCTTATCCTAGAATTTGGAAACAGTCAAGTGTAAATTTCAAACTAATCAAACTTCTTCTAGAAAAGTGTGAATTAGAGCACTTTTAAGAACTAGAAATCTGCCTTCCTCAGTAAGCTTGCCTAGTGAGAAGACTGAGGAGAGACAAAATTGCAGCAATTATTTCTCAAATAGCGGGGCTGAAAAAAATTGTGCCTTCCCCCCTTTCCTCTCCCGCCTTTTTTTTTTTTTTGCCCCCCCCCTTTTTTTTTAATCATCTTAAAATCCAGCTGCAGTTCCTGCCTTTGCCAGCAGCAGTAGCTTTGTGGGTTTGCAGCAATGATTCCTTTTCCCACTGCTCTGCACTGGGAAGGCCGAACCAACTCGCAGTTTTGGCATCCACTTCCATTCTGGTGAGAAACTCAAAGACTTTAGTAGGGAAAAATTGTGGAAAAATGAGAAAGTGTAAACAGAAGCGTGGGGTGTGGCACAGGAGAAGAGTGATTTGGCGGGTGAGTTGATTTTAATACAAAAGTACCGGGCTACGAGCAAATATTTTGCAGAATGTATTCTCATTTCTAAATTCTCTTCGGGATTGTCTCCAACACTATTGAAGAAAAGTCAAACGTTGAAAACCAATTACTTGTATTTGCCACTGACACAGCCTTTTTCTAGAATTTTCTTAATCCTTTAATACTGTTCTTGCACTTCCTTAGTTCTCCTGCTTGTCTGTGTTTGACTTGGATTATGAGCCCCAGCTCTGCCAGTTTGTTCCTCTGAGCTGGTGACCAGTAACAACTCCATTTAGACACAGCTGTGAGCACAGTTGTTTCTGATCGTTGCATCATTTAAAAAATCTCTGCAATACTAAAACAACTAATGTCAAAAACAATTAATTTGAAATTTGGAATCAATTACTTTATTGCCAACTAAACACTCAACACTGTTGTTTCTTTTTTCCCCTTCCTTTTCTTGTTTGCTTTTAAGTTGAAATGCTTTCTTGGGCTAAACTCAAACTCCTGTGTGATATGCCACACCAAAAGCAGTCCCTCCTCCGACAATTATTGCTTGGAAGGTGTTTTTTCACAAAAGCTGGTACACTTCAGGTCCTGAGTGTTGCAGAGACATTTTTTTCCCAGATGGCAAAACTAAGAGAGGAAGAACTGAAGGGATGTGCCCTTGATAGAGAAACATGGGACTGGTGGAAGGTGGGAAGTCCTCTCTCCTGGACTTTACCCCTGCCTTGCCTGAAATAGCTGCACAGCACTGGTAGGAATCCGTTGAGTGACATTAGACAAGGGACCGAAGGTATAAAAAGGTGACATTGAATTTATTGCTTAGAAATATGGGCTAGTTAATTTTCCTTATGTGCCTGGCATCTCTGCCATGGTGCTGGGTTTTATTTTTCCTTGTATAATTTGTTATTTAAAAATGTTGTTTAAGGTGGAGGTGTCATTTGGAGTTTGGAGTAAATGACTAACTGGGAATGCTGAGTGAGGTGGCCCCTGCTGCAGGGCAGGGCTGCACTGGGGCTGTGAGCAGGGGCCACAGGCAGAATTTACATCCCATTGATGTCAGAGCTGCCACAGCTGCTGGGCTTGACAGCTCTGCTGAACATCAGAGATGTGTGAGGAAGAGCCTTACCTCTGAACCCCTAAAAGAGAGCTGGGTTTGCATCAGCTGAGTGGCTTGATTCTCTCATCTCTGATTTAAACCTGCCTTGGAACAGTCAATTATATTCGAGTAAGAGAATGTTGCGAAGTTTTATTCTTACAATGTAAAATAACAGGTTAAGACTGCCTGTGCTGCTGGTGTGTAGCTTAGTCAGGCTGGTAAATTAGTAGAGCATGATATTCTTTGAGAAGCTGGAGTGTGGGAGCAATCCCTGAACATGCTTTAAGAAAAATGTTGTGCGAGTGATTCAGCTCTTCTCGCTGTTGCAGGGAAGAGATTAGAGGTGCACCACTTTGTCAGTTCATCTCCTTAACTCATAATATATTATTTATTACAAGGATTTGGTTTCCTAAGCCTGTGGTCTTTTTTTTCTCTTAAGATACCACTGACTATTTGATCTCGAGGGCTTAGTTTTCATTATTATTATTATTATTATTATTATTATTATGTAGTACAGGTATGTGGGGAGGGAAGGACTTTGAGCAACAGCCAAAGCCTTTAAAAAGCTTTTTAACACATGGACTGTCTGTGTTTTCATCTTGTTTTGGCACTCTTTGCAACTTGTGCTGATGGTGTGACTGTGGTTGCTTCAAGTACATCTGGGGTCCCCTGTAGCCTTTATTTCAGGGGGGTTCTGACTCTCTTATCGTTTGTTTCTCCTTTTTCTGGTATAACCAAGCCTGAGCTCTCAGTGTGAGATGTAAACCTCTGGGCCTGGATGATAATGATTCTGCCTAACCTTAAACCCAGGGTAAGCCAGGCTTGTTGTGCTGCCCCTGCCTGTGTGTCCCACGTGTGGACACACCTCTGGGATCCAGCTTTTATCTTAAGGGCATATCCAAATAAGATTTTACAGGAAATTGGGAACTCCAGTGACATCTGGCAGAAGAGCAAAGCCACTGTAAGACAAATTGGTCTTCTCCAGCAGGCATTTTATCAAAAATCAACTCCTTTTTTATTAAAAAAAAAATAAAAGTAAAATTTGGGATGTGTTATTCTTTATATTTTTTTTTTTTAAGCAAACCTAACCCCAAAAAACTAAGTAAACTAATGAAAATATTAGCATTTAATTTTATTCAGACTAGCCAGAGTATTTTCACAGAGAACAGGTGCATTCTTGGTGTAGCTGATGTTGCATGGTAGATTCTTCCATTCATCAAATGTTTAGAAGAAGCCTTTCATTTAAAAGGAAGGGAGGAAGTCTTGTAGAAGTGACTTGTATGGGCTAAAATAAAAAAGTAAACTAGGCAGGAATAAACTTGCTGTGTGGGTGGCTAACTGAAAGAAAAACCATCATGACTTTGTTCAGTTCCTGAAAGGGTGATCTGAGAATGTTTGATTAAAGGAGCTGAACTGTCTCATCACCTGAGCTGGACATAGAAAGGGATAAAGAATGTTTAATGAAGGTGTAGCAATGTGACATATCCCTGCTTTTCCTGACTTGGCCCCTCTCTCACCAGGCAGTTGATGAGAACAGAAGAAGGAGCAGATGATGGCACCAAAAGCTGCCCTGGAGCTGTGCCTGGTGCAAACAGCATCCCGTGTGGAGAAGCAGATCGTGCTCCTGCAAAGTGTAAGTGCCTGCTCTGGTACATTCCTTTACAAAGAAACCCCACAAGCACAAATAAACCCCCTCTGTCTGTCTGAACTGGACATTTGGGGAAATTCCTTCCTAAATGTTGGTTTGAGATCAGAGAGAAATACCTGCTTTGTAACTTGCTCTGGTCATTCAACATCTGCCCTTCCTTCCCTGTCTGCCATTCCACCCTTTTGTCCTTCCTCGCACTGACTGAAACGTTTGGGGCTCACTTTCTGTAAGTTCTGATAAATCTTTTGTAATAGATTTTTGGGTTTTGCAGCTTAACAATATCAAATCCTTCCTGAGATTTATTGTCAGCTACACTTGACCTGGGGATCAGAACTGAGAACGTTTGATGGAATTTGTTGCAGAATCAGGGAATGTTGTGAAAGTTGCTATTTTTGGTTTCTGTTTTGCTGTACCTAGAGACTACAGATTTTAAAAAAATGAAATGATAAACAGTGTTTTCTTGGGTGTTCAAAACATGATGAGCATGGGTGTGTCATGAACTTTGGCTTCTGGACAAACTGATTTGCACTGTTCCTGGTGGAGTGGTGCAAAGACATCCAAGGGTTTTAGCTTTTAGAATTTTAGAATTCCTTAAAAAACCCAATCCACCACCACCACCTCCCAGTGCAGGTGTAGACTGACACAGAGGGAATTTAAGCCCTTGGTAATCAGTTTGCTTTTCCCAGTTGCCTTCCACAGCCCCTGTTGAAAGGTTCACAGACCCTTCCAGCCTTGCTGGAGACACCGCTCTGTCCAACCAAATGTGGCTGCAGTGGCAGTGCTGGAGCTGGTGTGGACAAGTATTTATAGGAGATGGGACTGGTGTCAGGTAAACTACAGAGTGGCTTTGTTGGCTTCCTCCTGCAAAGTTCTTGGGCTGTCCCACCCCTGCAGCTCGGTGGGAGAGGCAGCCCCATGGCAGTGGGGGGAAGAGGAGCAGTCTAGCAAACGGCGTTTCATCCAAGCAGGGCCCAGAAGAAATTAAGTTTAGCAAAGAAAACAAGTTTCATCAGTTAAGGCAATAAAGCACAGTCCCAGAGCAAGTCAATAATGCTCAATTGACAGCCAGTCAATATTTGTACTGGATTAACTTTTCAAGGAATGTGGAGATTTCGGTGGGTTTTATGTAAACACTGTAAATAGGTTGGGACACTAAAGTACGGTTACAAATACCGCGTGTCAGATTAGATTAGAATCACTTCCAGGGAGCAGGAGTTTTCCTACCACGAAAGAGACATTTATATCTTGTGAAATGAACACAGATATGAATTTTTTGTTTGTCAAATATATTCCAAAATGCAGCTGGGCAGATCTCGTGGCAGTGCTGCTCAGAACACTCCAAAGGACACCTTCTTCCCCCACCCTCTGTCTGTGCTGCTGCCAAGCCGTGCCAGGTAGGGCTGGAATTCAGGTGCCATCATGGCTGCAACTCCATTGACATGAATACTGCACAAATTAATTTAAATTTTGGGCTTGGTATAATGAGAAGAGCTGTTAAGAAATATTCAGCTTTTCTCACACTTGTTCCTTGCTGAGGAATCGGTCAGTGTGCTCAGAGATGAAACCAAAACGTGCTGGTTTCTGACCTCTGTGACACAAGGCTCTGTCTGTTGCTTTACAGGTCTTGCAGCTTTGCAGTGCCATGCCTGGCACCCACTTCTAACCAATAAAACATCTATTTACTGTTTCCAAGACTGGAAGCAAAGTCGACAAACACTTCCAGAAGAAATTAGTTACTTACAGCGCCTTTCTTTTTTTTTTCCAAGATGTTGCCCCAGGTTTCCTGACTTGCTCCCTCATTATAAGGAGCTCGAATCATCACAAGATTCCCAGCGTTCTAGAAATAATTGAGGGTGATCTGGCCTGAACTGCCTGTCCCCAGGCATGGGATTGAGGGCAAGCAGAAGTTGGCACTGCCCACATTGGCAAAGCAGCCCAAGTAAATCATGTCTCACGTGTAGGGAACACAATGCCCAGCACTAGTGAAGCCCACGCAGGTAACACACCACCAAGAGTCCCTCTTGCTGGAAAATAGATTACTGCATTTTATTGTTCTTCCTTTTATTTCTCCTGCCTCTTTTTTTTTTTTTCCTTAGAAAAGGTAATTAGGCCATAAACAGAGGTCTGACAACTAATTTTATCTGCAGCAAAATTAATATCATAAGCAACAGATAATTTTAGCTGGGCAAAATTAAAAAAGATATATTTTAATGCCATTTTAAACCACAAAGTCTAATTTTTTTCCTTTCTGAACTTCTCCTGCCTGGCTATTTTGATATGTGTGGAGATGCTCACTCATTTAGTGAACAAATGTTTTACCTCTGTTCAGTTCCTGTCTCACCAACAGGCCTTGCTGGTGTTGGCCTGAGGTACGAAGTTGCTTTTAATTTCCTCTCTCTTGTTCTCTGGTTCCTTTCAAAAGAGAAATGATCTGAGGGAAAAGACATTGCTTTTCTTACCTCTAAATTTTCATTGACATTAATAGGAGGCAGGTGGCCAAATCCCTGCACACAGCTTTGAAAATTTAAGGTTTAACTTTCCTTTTTTTTTTTTTTTTCCTGGGCTGATTCTTGCGTTGCTGGAGTTGTGAATCCTCTGAAAAGATATTAAATGTGCATCCATACCATGTCAGCAGTGCCTAGAGAGTTTATCTACGAAATTATCGTCTACCTTCCAAATCTATAACCCTAAAATATTGATTGGTTAAAAGGTAGTGGATAAAGATTAAGACAGCACAGCAGCAGATTACCCTAATCAAATAAAAAGACTATTAACAGAGCTTCTCACAGTTCTGAAGATGTTGGTTTGAAATACAGATGTCTTAACCAAAGTGCTATGTCTCGTTTTCTGAATGCATTTTTGAATGCATTTAAATAAATTACCAAATAGAAAGGAAGCAGAGAAAAACTCCACACGCCCCAGACAGTAAATTTCCATTTATAATAAAATTATTTTGTGCATTTCAGCAAGCAGTTGGAACTTTTAAAGATCTTTTTCATTGGGTAGTGAGGAGTCAAGCAGTGGGATCTCAGCTTAGAGGGCTCTGTAGGCACACATGTGATTTGTAAACCTGGAGTTGGGTGTGAGCACATCGACGTGAGCGTGTGGTGAAAGGCAGGAGTGGGGTCACTGTGCAAAGCCAGTACTGCTGCTTAAACAGAGATCGTGTTCAGCCTGTATTTCATGGTTTGGGAACAGTGTTTCTAGATGATGGATTTGGGATGCCAAAATTTGAGGCAGTATTTACTGAAAACCGGGTCTTTTTCATTGCCTTGGGTGTGAGTTTATGAGTGAGGTTCTGTCGTGCAGGGGTCTGCAGAGGTACCAGGTATCTCACATGCCAGGGGTAGGTGGTCTGCTCAAACCCAGCATCACAGGTCAGATCCCCAGACCCTTCCTTTGATTTGGAGCCCTTGGATCCTTTGGAAAATTATCTCTGCTTAAAACCAGCACCGGTTCCACCACTTTTGAATTTGTCACAAACATCTTACTTAGCATGGAAGGCCATATGCTTATTAATGTTCAGTGGGAGTAAACTACGGGGAATATTGCCTGGAAAAGAGTGGCATTTGTCACTAATGCTTTTAATGTATAGTGGGAATTTTTATCCAACCAAAGGCTGAGTTGTGGTTTATCCTCTTGAAAGACTTTCCCATTGAGTGACAGCTAAGCAGGGATTGAGCTAATAACCCATGCCCTGTGTTATTGGAGTCAGGGAGACAGAAAGGGAAAATAGGGTGGGTAATGTATTAATTTTCATCAGTTATGTACAATACTATTAACTATCAATTCTTGTTGAAATAATGTGTCACCGATTAATAATGTCATTTCAACTTCCTGAACTTTCCTACCTAAAAATTTTAATTTGAAAAGAAACAGATTTAAGAATGTGTGAAAAAGGTTTTGGTGCTGTCACTCCTCGGCATGGAGGTCTTTTGGTTTTGTTTTAAGTCGCGGCGTAAATGAGGTTTTAAAAGTTTTTAACAGTGATGTGGATAAATTTGGAATTAAAATTGAGATCTGAAATGTTGTGTTGCTCCACTTTTAAAAATAAGTTCCCTTCTCATTTGCAATTAAAATGTCTAGAATCTGCATAAAATGTGTGAAATTAGAGATAATTGAAATACAGTAGCTATAAATATGTCTACTCCATTTGAAAAATAAATAAAATGTCCACTAAAAGGGTGCGAAAGCCGTACCCCCTTCTCTTGTTTCTCACATTTGGCTCTCTGGCATTTTTCACACTTTTATGGCTAATTTTTATTGCAAAACAATAAGTTACATTTGTAGCCGTTGTGGGAATGCAGAATAGCCCCTGGCAGCTCTGTAAAAAAAATGGAATGTTGGGAACACATTTAGAAGAATCCAGCTTTTGATTTCATCCACAGCGTCGGTGTCGTACAATCATATTAAGTGTGATCCAACAAAAACAAAAGGGGGAAAAAAAGAAAAGGCAGCGTTAGGGAAAATACTTAAAATAAGCCATTATTGGAAGTGTGTTCATTCTGCCCTGTTTGTTGTGTTTTCATAGCATAACAAGTTGTTGTGATATCGAGCAGTACCTCATGCACAGATTGTAAAGCCACTTCTCTAACTTCAGCCTCGAAACTCAGACAAATATTAACCATGCAACACCTCGTGCAGCCTTTTTAGTGAAATGGCACTGTGATGTCCTGTCACTGCCAATGCCACACAGTGTTTCTGTTACTGGGGAACACCAACTTCCAAAGGGCTGCTTCGGTGGAGAAACAAGCAGCTGTTGAACTGCTCTGCATCCCCACAAATACCCACCACAACTGGTTGTATCACACAGAACGGAGTTGAGAGGCCTAGGTGGAGATTACTGCCCTGTCTCATCACTGCTGCCCATCCTGTAATATTATTTCTGGAACCCCTGTTTTCTGCAGGCACTCCTTGCAGAGGGGATTATGCCAAAACAAGAGAGTTTCCGTGCTGGTTTTAGCTGAGGGTGATGGGAATTCAGC